TAGGTTGGCTTTCTAATACGGAATTACACAAGGTAATTCTTCCCCCAGCGACAAGTACTTACCCTGCCATCCATCAATTTTTTTCTGAGTTTTTCATAGAACTGAATCCCAAATTGATGTCGAACTAGGATGGGCGCCCAAAGGCAGCCCTAAGTAGACATTGTGGAGAAATTTTCACTCACACCCGATTATCCCAACGTGTCATCAATGTTGTCCACTTCACCCACAGGGTAAAGTAAACTCTTGTCAATATTGATCTTGAGGCCTGTAATGGATTGAAAGCAAAGTAGGGCAGCCATCACATTAAAAACTTCCTCTTCGGTGGCATTACAGAATATAATAGCGTCATCAGCGCAAAGTAGATGTGAAACTTCTCCACGCTGACCCCGCTCATCAACGCAAAATCCCAGAAATCAGCCCAGCGTGTTGCAAATTTTGGATTATAAAGGAAAATAAGTCCATCACTATGTTGAACAGGAGAGGAGATAAATGATCTCCTTGCTTAAGACCCCTCTCCATGTTAAAATAGCTCGCAAATTCACCGTTTACAAGCACAGAAAGTTTCGAGCTAGAAACTAGACCTATTATCCACTTTCTCAGCTTCACATTCGCCCTCGTGTTTATTAAGATTCGATTCAAGCACTCCCACCTGACTGAATCAAATGCCTTCTCGATATCCAACTTTAATATAACTACCGGTTTACCACCCCTTTTTCCGACTATCAATTGCTTCATTAGAAATTTCTCCATGTATTTGTCTTTTTTTCCTCCCAGCAAACTGGAACTTTGAGACAGCCTTATCCGAGATTAGTTGAAGCCGGCCAATACAACTTTTGAAATGATCTTATTCAGACTCCCAATAAGACTAATTGGCCGAAAGTCTTTAATTTCTTCAACCCGCTTCTTTCTTAGGGATCAAACAAGCGAAGGAGTGTGCGACTGAATGCGGTAGCGATCCACTGAAAAAGAATTCATCAAGACCTTTCATGTCATCTGATTTGATGATGTTCCACGACTTTTTAAAGAAGGCAAGAATGAAGTCGTCGGGGCCAGGTGCCTTCTCCCCGTAGCAAGAGCAAATTGCCTTCCAAACTTCAGCTTATGTGAAAGGGGTTGTCAGCTGGAAATTTTATTCCTGATTAATCAATCCCACCTTGAACTCAGCCGGAAAAGTCCTGTCGCCTCCCTCACCTGTGAATCTTTCTTGAAAATGGTTGGCGAAAGCAAGTTTTATCTGCCCCTTATCCTCGACTGATCTTCCTCCAATCTTCAAGTTCCTCACACAATTCCTTCTATTATTTCTCTTTTCCATGCGATGGAAATAGGTTGTATTAATGTCCCCACCCTTGAGCCACAAGGCTCGAGACTTTTGGCGCCATGAAATCTCTTCCAAAATGAGCACTTTATCCAGTTCTCACTTCAGTCTTCTTTTCTCAATGTGTAAACTCTCGGTAATGGGACCTTGTTCTTCCATCATGTCAGTGGTTTTAATCTGCGATAACAATTCTGCAGCCTTCCTGTAAATTTTGCCAAAACAATCTACATTCCACTCTTTAATTAGATGCTTTGTCACCCTCAATTTTTGGCCGTTTTTAAACAAGAGTCCTGATCCATTCATCCGAATACTCCACCACCCAACCAGCTGTTGAAGGAAACTTTGATCTTCCATCCACATGTTCTCGAATTTCCACGGTCGGTTTAGTCTCTCAAGATCTCCCCACCGAATCACAATTGAATTATGATCTAATTCTACCCTGTCAAGTGCAACCAATGGCCCTAGTTCAAACTCTTCTTCAAAACTGGGGTTCACTAGCGCTCTGTCAATACGGGACAAAGATGTTGAGCTTCCTCCACTACTCCAAGTAAACAGTGCACCTTTTAAGGGAATATCAGTCATGTTGTTTGACGTAACAAGGTTGTTGAACTCAGCATAACTTCATTGTTTCTGGGACCCCCTCTGTAATCTTCATGAGAGCGAACTAGGTTGAAATCTCCTATAATACAAAGAGATTCCACATACCTTTGGAAAACCAGGTTCAGATCAATGATGAAAGTCAGTTTATCATCCTTTTCTTGCGATCCATATACCACCATAAGAGCGAGAATTTTATTAGCATCAACTGACTGAAGCCTAGCAGTTAAGTAATAGGTACCTTCCCAAACATCAATCAACGTCTACTGGGACGGTTCCCTAAAGATTGTGATCCCACCCTTTTAGTCAGCTGCATCCTTCGCCACCCATTTCGAAGTCCTGCTGCCTCCAACCGAAGCAATCAACCGTTAAGAGAACTCATTCCATTTTGTTTCCGTTAGACCTATAATAGTAGGCCTAACTCTTCTAATGATCCCTTTTATTCTCGACCTCTTATCTGGGTACCCAAGACCACGAACATGCCAAGCAAGTTTAGTATGCAATCCCCTTTAAGAAGAATTATCGACATTATCGCGCCTTCCACTGAACTCGGCGACCTGTTCGATCTTCTCCTAGTTCTGGGCTCTGATGGGGCATCCTTTTGGGGGTCCCAAACGATGTTCCTCCATTTGCATCCTTGTCCTGGGTGTGCATCTTTTGTGCTTTGATTCCATGGCCAACTCAACAACTATCTTGTCAGCCTCACTTTCCGAGTTCTCGACTGATAGCTTGAGACACCTGCAAACCGCAATACACCTCTCCATAAGTTGAGAGAGGTCTTGTTCATCTTGCCAACCCTGAAGATATTCCTGCCCATAATCCCGATATTCCACTATAGCCAACTGCTTATGATTTTCACTATCGGAGAGCTGGGGATCGCTAGAGAGAGCACAATTGTCGAAATCAGGCGGTAGGTCTGAAGTAAAGTGGGGAACCTCAAAATCTGATAAATCTTATGGAAAAGCATGGCCCAAAGGGGAGAGGAGGGGGAGGGAACCAGAGTGAACATGTAAAGGAATGGGATCGGGGAGAGGAGTAGAGAAAGGGAACCCAACTATTTCCACATAGATTGAGAAGAGTTAGGAGCGAAGGAAAATTATGATAGGGGGAAGAGGGAATAGGTGGGTTGGGGAAGGCAGCGGTAGAGAATGGTTAAGGTGGGTGCCAGATCGATTGGGGGGTTTTGAAAAAATGGGGGTTAGTTGGGAAAGAAGGGAAGATAAGGTATGTTTGAAGGGATAATGGAGTGGGGGCGATAAGGACACTCATACTCAATGTGAGATTTTACAGATGGAGGTTCGAAAAGGCCAGCAGGCCTGCAAAGGCTTAGAGGAGGCAAGGCCAAAATAATTGGGCTTGGGCGGAAGAGGGAGGGTTAGTGGGCTAGGATCTGTTGCAGTAGGTTGAGAGACACTGGATGAACCCGAGGCAAAAGGAATTGATTTTGGGTTTGGGAGAGGTCCGTACTTTCGAACCCACATCTTTCTATGTGTCCTGGACCCACTAGGGTCCTGCATGCATGCAACCAAACTCTCAACGCTTTTTCCCCCCAGGTTTACACCCTCGTTTTCATCAAATAATGATGACGCACCGCATGCACAAGTGAGACTCTTCACTTTCCTTCGATTTGAAAAACCCAAAATAAGGCGGCTATAATTCAAGTCCGCCACCGGCTGCTCCCTTTCCGGCGGAACAACAATCTTGATTGGAAACAGGGTAGTCCCGAAGATCAGAGGCACCTAACTCGGAACCTGCTGACCGGCCTTAACTTTGATGAGCATAAAAGGTTCTTCCCATCCGCTTCGTATGACATCAATGAAACCCCTGCACAGATCTCCGATCTTTCTTCAAACATTTAAGCTCTTAAGATGAGAAGAAATCCCAAAAGCCATGATCAAGGAAAGCCCTCCCTGTGGAGCGAAGCTTCTTCCGACATGTTCTATCCAGTAGCGAACAATGACATTGTACTCCTTAAACTTATAATTTTGACACCCTTGCACAAGAATCTCCTCCGGGAGCGAGGGGTAAATAAGCATCCACAGGTCCCCGACCTTCTTTGAGAAAACAAATCTCTCGTCCAGCTTCCAATTGACACGAGCCCAATCGATGAATGTATTCTCGAGTTTATCCGGAGACCTCTGTTCTGTACTCCAAAGAACTCAAGAGTGAGTCATCGATCCAAGAACACAAGTCTATCTTCAACACCCGTCTCTTCAACTTTAATGTATCTCATCCCGTCCAAACTTTTAACTTTGCACCCCCCCCCCTATGTGAGAACAAGGACATTCGAGACCGCCGCGGCATATGACCTTCCCGGAACAACTGTCGCCGATCTACGCAAATGTTGCCGTCGTGGTTGGGGTCTAAGGATGGGCAATGGGCAGGTTAGGTGGATTTTAGTCTCAAATTGTCCCACCCGCTTACTAGCGGGTTGAAATAATTGTGACCCGCAATCCACCCACATGCGTCTGCGGGTTAGGTTGGGTGAGTGGCGGATGGGTGCGATTGGGTCGTGGGTCAACCCGCAAAAGCAATTCTCCAACTAGCCATTAAGAAAGTTGACTAACATTTATAATAAGTTCATCACAGAATTAGTAAGACTGTATCAATAATTTGTGATTTTGATACAATTAATAATTTATAGTTTGCATCCCAATATTTAATGGTTATTAACAAGAATCTGCATATCAATATCCAATATCTAATGGATATTGCACATCACAATGACCAATAATAGTAGTCAAAACTATTATTTATTCTTCACCTTTTGAAGTATATGGTCGGACTATAGTACAGTTCGAAAATATGATGATATTCGATACTATAAGAAACAATATTTTTTTATGTAAAAATAGGATGCGGGTCATATGGGTGACCCGCAATCCACCCACCATCCATCCACATAAGTGCGGATGGGAGATTTACCAATCTACAATCCACCCACATCAATCACCCACTACGTGCGAGTCGGATTATTTGCCGGTGAATCAATATCAATCCGCGGATCAACCACCCACGCGCCCATTCCTATTGGGGTCCACGAACCAAATTTAGCAAGGCTTAAAAAGTTCCATCCACCCTTGCGCGTTGTCGGGAAGTGATAGGTAGAAAGTTCTGCCGCTCGGAATGAGCTCAGAGATTTTAAACCCACCTCCAAAGCGATTGGAGATCCATTTGATGACGATCCTCCTTCCATCACCGGGTTTCTCCAGACTCCGCCGAGACCGGGGAGGTACCCCGCTAAAGTGCTGCAACTTCAAGCCCAGCCACTCAGCTTGCGGGTACTCCAGGTAGATGAACTGCGCTTGTTATCACTTCCGGCTGCCGAAAATCTGAGCAGCTTCGATTTCTTTGTCGGATAGTCATGGATGGTCATGCGCTTCTGCCCAATATTCCAAACTAATTCCTGCTTTCCAAGGGGTTCACCATCGAGCCGATGCCGAGCCGACTCCGCCGATGACCTACAAAAGACAGACAAAACTCTCGCACTTTCCTCACACCTCTCGCTTTCTCTCTCAAGAATCTCTCTCTTCTCTTACTCTTCTTCCATTTTCCTGATACCATTTTCAGGGTGAGCACATTCTTTGGAGCTTTGATTAGGTACTAAAGGTTGATCTTTTTGGCAAGGTGGATTATTTTGTTATCCTGTTGCACAACTGATTTGAAATTTGTGGGTTTTCTCGTAGAATGCTGTAGATATGGCTTTGGAAGATTCCTGGTGCAAATGTTCTACTGTATCTGAATTGATGGGCATGTCATTTTGAGCCTTTGTTGTTTGAATAAATTTTTAGCTGGATATCTAATTTTTGTTCATATATTTTTTAGTGAATGTTGGAGGGGATCTGACCAAAATGGTACCTGGCAGGGTTTCAATAAAAATAGATGCCCGGTTCGCTTATGACACTCATGCTATAACCAGGAAGGTAATTACTTGTCCCCAAGTTTTATGTATTACTAATGGCGTTTCCTAACTTAATTCAACCTAATAGTGCTATTTGAGGGCTTGCTGAGTAGGCCATTGATGCTTGCTTGTGGATCTATATTGCAGGTGCATGACTTGCTGAAGCTGTACAGCGAAGTTAATGTATCTGAAGACCGCTTGCTATTCAAAATTCCTGCAATGTGGCAAGTTAGTGGTCTGTGCTTCAGGATGCTTATGTATCTTCTCGCCGTTGAGATGAACCAAACTTGTCAATATGCTTCAGGATTGGGTCGAAATCATTCTGGTGATCCTGAGATTGAAATTGCCCTGAAAAGAGAAGGGGATCCTGGCTTGGCTTTGGTTTTTCAAACATTTCATTTCAAATGTTTGTTCACTTAGTCATACACTCATACTCAATATAATAGCATAGTTTCCAAACAGCTGAAGTATAAAATGACTTTGAGATTCATTCTGAGGCTTTGATTAATTAACTTATCGGACCATAACAGAGAAAATGTTTTTTCAGGTGACCAAGCCGTATAATTACATCCACAAGTATGATGGACATAAGTTGAAGTTGATGGCAGCAGTAGTTCGTAACAAACAAGATCTATTCATCCTTTTGGGGTAACACATGATCATCAGTCATTAGTAATTTAACAATGTGAAATTCATATATAATACTAAACCTGTTTGCTCCTATTGTATTTCAAGGTTGAGTATATCATTGCACCATTGAAGGTATTATCATCTCTCAAGGAGTCTGTCACCACTCCTGATATCCCCACAATCTGCTGCCAACTATAGTCTTAAGGAAGAAGAGGTCTTTCATCCTCACATTCTACATTCTTTTTCTTTGCTCACATTCATTAGAATTTAGAAGGGACTACAACAATCTCATGGTGGTCAGTGGCCACACAGTATGTTTGGATAAATTATACGAATGGTCACTAAAATTGAGGTCACTAACAAATTGGCCATTAGATTTTGATTTTTAACGAATTTGACTGAAGTATACAATAGTTAAGATCATCTTATATTTCCAGATTTTCAAGTCTTTTAATCCAATTCGTCATCTCATTTGTGATGCAGCTTGTGAAATGGGACCAACTAAGCCTAGCATCAGCCATGGGCCTTGTAGCTGTGGAGCTTCTAGCTACGGGACTGGATGGGTATGCCATTCAAGCAAAGTAACAGACCGAGTGGAGGAGCTGTTTGCAAAGATTTGGCCACCACCAAATGTCTTAAACCAACCTGTCTCCATCCATCCATGACCCAGTTGCTAATCAACACTTTCCACAAGCAATAAGAACTCAAAAAGTCTGCAACTTTCGATCAACCCAGGTGCTGGAAACCTTGTAGTGTGCTGTCTTGCATGCTTATTAGTTACTTCCTTGTCCATGTGGTCTTTGTTCAAATTAACAGACTGTGCTGCTTCTTCCTTACACGCCGCAGCTGTAAATTTCGAGCTTTTAGAACGATTGGATTGCTACCCTTCTTCCTATTAGATTTATAACTCTACTTGTGTTTCTAGTTTTACTCTTGTGGCCATACTGTTAATTTATTTTTGAAAATTGACATTTTATAGCAAGCTCATAAAATTAGTAGCCACAAGATATTAAAATGTGTAGCTAATTTTTTTTTTTTTTTTGTTACAGCTACTCTTGTAACAACAAATGTGATTTGTACCTAAAGGATATTACTTGCCATCCAAATCAAAATTTGAATCAAAATAATTATACGCTATGGCTAAATAAATTTGTGGCAAAGATTTCAACGGGAAAAAAATGTATGGCAAAAACCTTCACAAATAGCCACGAGGAATAGATTATATAGTCATTAGCATATGTTATTAGCTACAATATTATCTTTCATGGCTATAGTTTGTAGTTATAAGAGGTAATTGTAGCATTGCAAAGAATAATTAATAAGGGGTAAAGTTGAAATTAAGAAATTATAAGGGATATTTAACTCACTTTCCATGAAGGGTTTGTTCCCTTCTTCAAATCCCAAGTAAAAAGGCTGGATTTACAAATCTGGAGCAAAAAAAATCTCCAAATCCGTGGGCCCCACGGATTTGGTACCTCCATTTTTGTTAACAAACAATGAATTTTTGACAAATTCTTCATGTGTTGGATTTAAGAGCCAAATCCCACATCCAAATCCGTGAAGTATTGACCCCGGGGTCGTTTGCTTGTTGGATTTGGAAAATGAGGGTTTTGGCCAACAAAAACCTTGGGATTTATGTTGGATTTATTGGATTATGGATTTGAAGAGTCTAATGTTTGCATGATAGATTTGATGAAGGATTTGTGATGGATTTGTTAAATAAATAACTAACCATCAAGGATTTGCAAATCCCAAATCAATATGTAGGATTTACAAATCCGTGGGGTCCACGGATTTGGTTCCAAAATAAAGATCAAATCCGTGGACCCCACGGATTTAGCACCCTTCAACAAACAATGGACTTATGTTAAATCCATCAAGCTTGGGATTTACGTACCAAATCCATGACCCAAGCAAACGACCCCTTAGTGTTTGCTTGATCATGGACTTTCAAGTCCATCATTTATGTCCAATTTGCATTTCCTATTCTCTTTCTCTTATCATACTAATTAGTGCAATATATGTTAATTTCACTTCCAAGTCCATAATGAACCCAAAATCCTTATTTATCCATGGTTTTAAATCACCCAAATTTTTAGTAAAGCCTTCATTTTTAAAATCCACGAAGCAAACGACTCGCAAGTTCCTTATGCATGACAGGATTGAGAGACAAACTATAATTGAAAATCCCCTTTATCCATCTAGGGAAAAAAGATTGAATCTTTGTAAGATATCTTTTACATGTAGGAGAATGGTGTATGATGTATTCTTAATCTCTGTTAACAACTTTAATTATTCACACTATATGGTTTAAGAGAGATTGAGATTCTATTTTTGGGGAAGGTCATACCAGAGAAAGAAACAGGTCATTTAAAGATTGTATTATACTCGAACAACTTGAGAGAACGGAAGGAGAGAGTTTTAATAATATACTAGAACGAAGTGAGAGAAATGAATGTCACTCGATTTTAAGGAGTGAAATTTTATTCTTAATTTTGGGTAGTTGTTCCAACACCCGTGTGGTACACTTAACTTCTCATAAATCTTTCTCAAGCCAACATCACAACCTCTATCACGGCTACCACATTATCGGAGTCTTGTTTCTCGTACTAGGTTAGACTAATTGTTCCATTCTCGCATCGAAGAACCAATAGGTCCAATCACTATTCGGACCTTGGTAACTTCCGATTGAAGCATGAAAGAGAGGAAAAACTCTTTTTATCTTTTTTTATTAAATGGATGCAAACACACCCTTTCTTTCATTCAAACCACCTGGGGTTCGGAGAGCCCCTGAACATCATACAATATTCAATTACAAAGAATGGGATCGGATAAGGGAAACATATGAACACCCAAAGGGACTAAGTGTCGTAGTTAGCGATGTAGTCTGCATACTTATTACCTTCTGTATAGATGTGGGATATGGTCACCTCCCACTGTCGATGAAGCAACTCATAAGCTCTATCCAAAATGGTTGCATGGCGATGCTCACTAGAATCAGAACTCCATAGGAGCTGTCACGCACAGGTGGAGTCTAATTCCAGTCTAATGTGTCAGAAGCCAGCATCCCAAGCTACCTGAAGCCCTTCCACAACGCCCTCAACTATGCCTGGGTGATGGAGCAGCTGCTCAGGTTCATATAAAATGCCAGAAGGCATCTTCTAGTATGATCTCTTATCAGGCCACCAGCTATCGTGTGACCCGTATTAGTTTGAATGGAGCCGTCACTATTGAGGGTGACCCACTATGGAGGTGGCGGCATCCAGGAGATCTCCACCTCCGTTCTCATGGGCGGATTAGGCTGGTGAATGAGCCTATCCTGGTCCAATTCTTGCCTCACTAAGTTATCCATGCTTCTACGCGCTGCAAAAATGCTTCAGTAGTGTTGATCTTGCCTACAAAGACGCGATCATTCCTGGTCTTCCACAAAGACCAGCAGGTAAGGCCAAAATTAAGGCCAGTGTGCTCCCTTTTCAGGTTGTACTCGATCCATTCATGTAAGTTGGCTCCGAAGAAACGGTGGTGGTTAGAAAGTGGGATAGTTCGCATTCAAGTTAACCTGGCAAAATTACAGTCCTGCAACACATGCATGATTGTCTTTGAATCCATATTGCACGCTCCGCACTAAGTCACCTACGTGAGCTTCCTCCTATCACGTTCGTTGTTGGTGCGCAGTCGCTCCCTCATTGCTAGCCACTTGAAGTTGCGGACTCTCTCCGGGCCTCTCTAGTTCCACACCATCTTCCAGTCCACTACACCTCTGCCCTCCTCATGATCGGTTGCAATGGCATAGGTAGTGCGGACCCTGAATTGCCCATTTTCCTCTAGTCCCCAAACGGGAAGATCTTGCCCGCAAGTCCACCGGCGGATGGGCTCCTGCAATATGGGAGAGCAGCTCATCGGGTAAGTAGGAAAGCAACGAGTGAAGTTGCTACTTACCTTGATTCGCAAACGCAGCTACAGGGGTGTCAAGCTCGATTGGCGGGCTGTCCTCCTGGATATGATCAATTAGTCTGATACCCGGCAGCACCCACTGATCGTCTATAAATTCATGGACATGCCATCCTTGATGCTCATAAAGTTCCCCCTTTCATCACTGACCAGGCTTTACGAATTCCTCTCCAGACATTTGAGGCTCGCGCCATTGATTTAGCGACAATGGAGTCATTCACATTCTTAAAATACTTCACCTACAGTTCCTGCACCTAGGGCTGGGAAACAGTCCGGTTCGGTTTAAACCGGACCGGATTGACCCGGTTTTTTTGAACCGTATTAGACAATCCCATGACCGAAGACGGGATTGGATTGGTTCCCGGTTTTGACCAAACCGGATTGGATGTAATACTGTCCAATCCGGTTTCAACACATTAACCGTTTGCTCCTATTCCCCTTCCAAAAATGCCTTCGTCGAATAAAAATTGAAAAAAACAAAAAATCGAATCCTATCTCGGCTCTCTCCCCACCCATACAATTCCTAAATCCTGATTCCTCATCTTCCATATCCGCCGCCCCTCTCTTCTTTCCCTCACCAGACCAGAAAGGCAAAAATCTGACTTACTCCCTCTCGATCTACCTCTGGCGCCCGAAATCATTCGTGGTTGTCGGTGGCTACTTTGCGGTCGGCACTCGGCAGACCCGCTTCGCCTCACCTCCAAAGTCTGTCCTCTGTTCTCCCTTCTTGCATGCACAATCACCCACCGCCAGACTCTTCGTCGCCGCCACCGCTGAGCGAACCAAGAATCGTCGACGGTTGTGGCTTGTTCGAATTACTTCTCCTCTGATTTCTTCTTCTTCTTCTTGTGGTGTCGGCTATGTTGATCTTGTCTCGTTGCGATGAAAGGCAGGGGGGAGAGCGATAGGGAGACAGAGTGGAGTCATGGTCTTTGGTTGCCATCGTTGCGTCTTGATTGGAATTGGATGGGTGTGGAGTCGAAGTTTCTCGAGCGTGGGTTGAGGGAGGCGCATAGAGTGGTGAGAGATGGAGCGGCAGCTGCTCCTTAGGGTTGTGGGTTTTGGGTGGGGAAACAGGCTACAGAGGTTGGGCTAGAGTAGGCTTTAGGGAGCCAACTGGGGCGGGATAGGGGTTAGGCTGGGCTTCAAATTATCAAACGGGCTGGGCCAGGAGTCGGGTTTGGGTTGGGAACTGTCTGTTATACGGTTTCCGGTTTAAACCGGGTAAAACTGGACCGGGACCGGGGTGTTTATTTACCCCTAGACTCAGACCGCAAACTGGATTGGGTGGATGAGAATCCGGTTTTCGGTTGTAACCGGGACGGTTTTAACTGGCCGGTTTCCGGTTTGACCGAAAAACCGGGACCGAATTCCCAGCCCTACCTGCACCCATAACTCATCCGGTTTCTTGAGAAAAGACCAAGCCAATTTAGCTAAAAAGGTAGGTTGAACTCGTGCGTCTTTCTGAATCCCAGGACACCCTCTTTTTTAGACTGGTAAACTCCCTCCAAATGTACCAGGTGGATTTCCAGCCTTCACTAGAGGAGCCCCAAATGAACCTCCAAATTTTCCGATCGATCTCATCACATATCGCGATCGAAAGGGGGGTAGTCTGCATTGCGTATGTTGGGAGAGAACTAAGCGCCGATTAAGCCAGGGCGGCCCTTCCTGCGAGCGAGAGGCTAGAGGCTTTCCAACCTGCAAGTTTGTTATGAAGGCGATCCAAAATGTATTTATAGGTATGTTTAGTTACCCGACCATGGAGTACAGGTACTCCAAGATATCGCCTCGGGTCCTGAGTGAGCGGGATTCCCATCTTATTTGCTATGACGGTGCTTCTTTGTTGCGTTATATTTGCCGAGAAGAGTACTGTTGACTTCTCATTGCTCACCTGTTGACCCAAGGCCTGGCTAAACTAGTCCAGGCACTCCATAGTAACCCGCACCTGTTCCTAGTTGGCTTCTGCAAAGAGGACGAGATCTCTACAAAAAAGACATCGGACAGTGTTGGTCCCCCTGGCGATCTTTTGATCGACTT